TCAATAAACTACATGTTCAATTTTCAGAGAACATTTTGTAAAATGGTCTTTTCAACTTTCATTCCTTTTGTATCTGAGTTAGTTCTACAATGTCATGAGGGGCATGTAAAAGTTCTGAGAGTCAGATCTGTGGCAGAGACAATCTACTAAATAAGTTATCTAAGGCATCTTTACTGATTCCTTCTTCAGCTAAATATAGTTTTGAATAAAACTGTTGAAATTGATTAGTGTGTCCACTTCGCAGTACATATTCTAGAGGAGTGAGAAGAAAACTCCCATGGGACAGTAACAGGAGGGGGCAGAAAGAGGAATTAAATAAGTGAAAAAACAAACTGGAAAAGATAGTGGAGAGAGAAATGCACATTAGTACCATACAATCAAAAAGGAGAATCTGTTAAACAGTCCAAAAAGATACACTTGACACCCAGGGGGTTTGGCTGAGTGAAAGTTGAAGATCCTCCCAGACCCTAGGGCCCCCAAGCATTACCAAGCATCCTTGTTTTCCATGATAAAAAACCCTCAAAATTCTCCGATTTAAAAAAAACCATAAAAATCCACATTTTTCCACGACTGAAATGTAACGCTGAACTTTAGTTTCCCTAGCCACAATATATATAGGTATCAGTTAAACACAATGTTTTATTGATATACAATAGAACCCGTTTATCCAAGCCTCCATCATCCAGCTCTCCTTATTAACCGAACCACCAGCGGGCTCAGGTGGTCAGTTCCAGGCAGCTGGGGCCTGAGTACCCCTTTCCCCCCGCCAATCTTAAAATAAGGGATAGAAAGCTCTTTGCCAGTTCTCCTGATTATCCCCATTTTTGATTGTCTTATCTGGTCCTGGCCCCAATTAGATCGGATAAATGGGGTTCAACTGTAAATTTAAAGTGCATTCAAAAAATCAACCACAAGAAGGGGAAGTTGCACAAATTGGCACTTTGAGTAAAATTTAGTTTTGTGTTTTTATTTTTTCACAAAAATGTAAAAACTAAAGATTCTCTGTAAAAATGCAAATTCCGCATTTTTTCATAGCAGAAACCGATTTCTAGGATCCCTGATGCCAAAAGAACCTTGATACATTAGTCCATAAGGAAGCATAATCTAATAAAGCAATGATATATAATTACCAATCTAATAATAGATATTTACACTGATGCTTCTTTCCCATGAGTTTAGGCAACAGGAAGTAAATAGATAATAACCCTTTAATCTTTCAATCTGATCAAGAGAGAGAGAGTGCACACTTGTTTAGAGCAGCCATATCAGATCTCAGAGAGGAATACATAAAATTCCACAGAGTTGAATCATTCCACAGATGCGAGGGAGCAGTTTGCAGATTTTTAGGTATTTTTCTGCCTCCTGAGGGGAACTGAATGATACTATCTTCTCGCCATTCTTAATACAGAGCACTGCCATGTATTTAATAAAATACGTCAAGTCCATCTTCCTGGCTAATTGTTTTGCTTGATTAAAAGCTGCCCTCATTGCGACCAAAACATGGGTATAATCTTGAAAGAGCAGTATTTTAATTATTGATTCTTCCATAACTTCCTTTTTTCCCTCTGGATTTCTGCAATATAAGCGCCTTAGTGGTAAATTTCAGGAACTTCACAATCAATGCTCTAGGCTGACATCCTGGAGCTGGCTTGGGGGCAAGTGTCTGGTGTGCCCATTCTGTATCAAAACTACTGGCAGATCTTAGTTAGCAGTTTAGAGACAAATTTGGAGGCTTTACCTTTCTATTCCCTCAGGGGCACCCCACACTCCTGATGTTACATTGTCACGAGTGGCTTTTTGAGATTTTTAGCTTGGTCTTAATATCATTACAGTTCTTCATAAACCTGCAATTTGTTTTCTTTGAAATCATCTTCCATTTCAGAAATTCTCTGTTCTGCTTTATCTGCGGCCACCTGTTGTAGAACAGCCATCAACTGTGTTCCATCAGGCTCATTCAGACATCATTTTGTTTGTAGAAGGCAGATCTCCTCTGTTTTTTGGTGCTTTCAGATTTGGAAAGGAAGATGTAGAGCTAAAGGGCATCTTGGGGGTTTCAGTAGTCAGGCGCCATATTTCCTGGGGTTGGATGGTGGGGTTTAGGGGATGATACTTGGCAATTCTCCATGGGCTGCTTCAAAGCTCAAATAACCTGCATCCACCTTGGTGGCAGTGCCCTCTGCATGTAATTCAGGTTGTAGGGCTGTGTCCATGTACACACATACATCCATTTAAAAATAAGGATTAAAACATTTTAAATGGCACCGATGCACAAACTGGTGATGCACAAATTGCCGTGGCTTCATTTTATTTCTGCAGACTTGAGTTTGTAACATTCTGCTGACTGTCCTGTGTTGGAATCTGAAGTTACACTGGGCTACTCTGATTAAAGTTTTAATTTTATTTATTTATTTGCTGGGAAGTTCTTTGACTACAGAAACATTTTAGGACTTAGCTGAAGTATAAACATCTCAGGACTAGCAGGCAAGACTGCTCTGCTTCAGAAACACAATTAAGAGGTATAGTATGGGCTTGCTTCACAATAGCCTTGATGCAACTCAAGATTATTTCAGAGCAATTAAAAACAAAATTAAAGAGCTAGAAATGACACCTGCTTATATGCTTACTGCTTTAATCATGGGAAAATAAAAGCTTCAGCTGGAGAGAGAGAAAATAGAAAGTAATCCAGAACAGAAAAGAGTGCCTGAGGGAACTGGCAATGTCAAGAAGCTTTTTGCTTTCTAATTTATTTTTTTGAAAAGGTGGATGGCAGACATGCTGAAGCAACATTATGATGAAACTTCGGAGGCTATTTCTGAGTCAGAAGAATACCAAGAAGAAAGCTGTTGAGAACACTGTACAATGTGCCTCATTTGATGCATGTGATCAAATTTGGAAGATGACTTGAGCTATGGAGTATTATGCGTCTCTCCAGCTTTGAAGGAACTTATTGTACAGTTTGGAAATCTTCAGGCTGTTAGGGGATGGGAATGGTCGCGTTCTTTTGTCCCGGACATATGTCTCTCCCAAACACACCCTCACGATTCCCACCCCTAACATTCTCTTAGGGTACGTCTATACCCAGCCGCTAGTTCGGTGGCTGGCAATCGAACTTCTGGGTTCGACTTATCGCGTCTTGTCTGGACGCGATAAGTTGAACCCGGAAGTGCTCGCCGTCGACTGCGGTACTCCAGCTCGGTGAGAGGAGTACTGCAGAGTCGACGGGGGAGCCTGCCTGCAGCGTGTGGACCGAGGTAAGTTCGAACTAAGGTACTTCGAACTTCAGCTACGTTATTCACGTAGCTGAAGTTGCGTACCTTAGTTCGATTTGGGGGTTTAGTGTAGACCAAGCCTTAGTGTTGCATCTCTGAGAAGACTTGGGGAGTTGCTCTCGCTATAGTGGAAGAATTTAATAAAATTCTCAGTGTTGATGTAGGCACAGAGCCTCACATGTGTGGAGTATGCATGGAAGAGCCTTCACTTGCTTAAGGATCAGAGCATGTTGGAGCAGAACTCCTCATCATATTCCCATATAGGCCTGTTCCTCTTCTTGCAGAAGGGAAAATGGGAACATCCACTTAGTGAAGATGTGGCCTTTTACCCTCCAACCAGAGCTGGACAGGTCGACCTTGCTCTTGCATGGAACTTCAGTGACTAAGGACTCACCTACCCACATATTCATTTGCTTTATGAATGCAGAATCAAGGCATAAGTGACATAACCTAGTACTAAACAGGACACCTCTCATGACTAGTTATACTAAACCATGACTAACTAAAGAAACCTGACCAAGTCTTTACGGGGGGTGGGGGAGGAATGGATTGGGACAAAAAATCCCTCAATTCTGTTCAGAATCAATTTCTCATTGGTAGTCAAAATAGTATGAAAAGAATTCTAGCCCAACTGTAGAGAAAAGTGGAAATTATAACCATTGAGGAAGTTAAAGATTTGTTAACAAGAAATATTCATGGCCATAGCTCAAGATGTCAGAAGTAGAACCTCTCCCTTTCCCTCACCCCCCAAAGGAACAATCAGCTTCCATAGACTGCAGTCTCAGAATTACCCAGTGACTGCCACACAGTCTAGGTAATTTTCTGAAATAAAGTAATGTATTAATAGAAATTAGAGTTCTGATACAAGAGTACATTTTGGTGCATTCTCATCTTTTGGAATAGAATCCATTGTCAGCCAAAAAAAAATTCAGGAAGCTCTTTAGCTTTAAAATGGACCCATTACTAATCTCATCAATCAGAACTTCATATTACTAGAGACAGAGGTGCCCAGGTCTCAACAATAAACAACATTAACTACATTATCATGCTTTGTCTTTCCACCTGATGAAGTATAGAGTCAACTCTGTCACTGCCACAGTCAAAGGCAGAGGAGGTAAAAAATGATTTAAAACCAATGATGAGAAAGGAGGAAGAAAACAACAAATAGTTTAGCACAGTTCCCTACTCAAAAAAGCAGAAGTCTATTATTTTTACTAGCTAGGCCATTGTACAAACATCTATACCTATTTTTTTCCCAAGTACTGCATTCATCATTCCTATTTGCTTTTTGAATAATTATTTGCATTATGAATAATTATTTGCATTTTATAAAAGCATCCATCGGCAAATCTCAAAGCTTTATAAAGATAAACAATGAAGGTTCACAGCATCCATGTAATGAATGCTAAGATTATCATCATTTTATAGGTGGGGGAGCAGAAGCACAGAAAGTGGAGGTGGCTTGTCAAAAGTCACATCAAATCAGTGATAGAAATATGATTATATCCTGGAATTTCTGACTTTCAGTGTCATGCTTTGTCTACTAGCCTCTACACTCCTGTTCTTCCTTTAATAGAAAGTCTGTTGGTTAAATCCCAGTCTAATGCGTTCAGTAATTTAGGGACAATTGCTTCTTCAACACATCTGCACTTGTAATTATATATAAGTGTGTAAACGGAAGAGTCAGAGAATAATAAAAAGAATATAGAGAATGAGAGTGGTGAAATCTGAATGAGGACAATAATTGACAATGCTAAGAAATTTCAGTGGAACCAAGTAAAAGATGATAAGGGAAATGCAAGTGAGGGGAGAAGTAATTATTCTGGAATACTTACTTACTGAAAAGATGGAGAGGTACATTACATGAATGGGAATGGATTTAAAAAATGCCTATGAGATAAAAACAACACAAAGGAATTTGGAGAGGGATCTCAGAAATGAACAGGAAAAGAAGAGTAACGGGCAGATTTTACTGGTTGAAAGAAAGTCATGATACTTCAAGAAAATAAGTTAGAGTGAAAAGTCAGCTTTAGAAGTAGGTATTTTAAATCTTAATCATATTTAATTTTTTTGGTAAGACTTTCTTTAAAACGTATCTGGGCAAATTAGATTTTATTTATCTAGTATGTAAATCATTGGCAATGCTCTGGAAAAATTAAGGTCATTCTACTTATCTTGCTAATTAAGGGCCTGATCCAAAGCCCAAAGAAGTTACTAGAAAGACTCTGGTGAACTTAAGATTTGATTCACGCCCTACATTCTTTGTGTGGTTTAATTTACATCATAGTTACTCAGATATTACTGGTGAAATTATGCTCTTGGTTAAGAGTATGTGTAACACCTGTTCAAATTTATCACACCAGGCCCATGTCTGGACAAAGTTTGGCACTATGTTGACAAAGGATAAAATTTCAAAAGCACTTAAAAATGACTTGGGCTTCTATATCACTTCTGAACATAGGACTCAGGCCGAGTTTACACCAATAGGGTTTTGCTGGTATAGTTATACCAGCATAGCTAAACCCGCAAAATCCTCCTAATATAGATGCAGTTTTATCCATATGAAAGTATCATTCCCCCAACCAGCATAAGCACTTTTATACAGATATAATTGTATCTACACTTGGGCTTTTACTGGCATAGCTATGTTGGGGTGTATGCAGGGTGGGAATAAAAATTAATAATAATAAAAAAAAATCACGCCCCTAACTGACATAGCTATGCCAGCAAAACTTTCTAGTACCGATCTACTTTCATGTGCTTCTGAAACTTCCCCCCTGCCCCACAATCACAGAAAATGGAATTTCAGAATAAAGGGCCCACTCCTGCTCCTACTGGAAGTACAGAATGCTATGGCCTAAATGTGGTTAGAACTCTGTACCTTTAGACAGCTTAAGCAAAACCCTCTTAAAGTTGTATTTATACTGCACTTTACTATTAAGGCACTATTTAAATAGCACACAGCAATGTACTGAGTCCATCTAATTGCTTAGGATGTTATATTTAAGGCTAGTTCTGTTTAGAGGTACTCACATAACACATCAGTCAATATGTGTTACATGTCCCCCTCTATGCCAAATCCACAGAGAAACTAGTCTGTTACAGCCCCCACCTACAAACTCTGGCTTTTTAGTTCAAACTGTACAGACATATTTAATTCTGGAGATCCTTGGTTCAGTCCCAAGTGCTAGTCCATACAGATAGTGTGGTCATAGGAGCCAGAGACAGATGTTGGTTGGGGATTTTACTTCAGATTTTTTTTTAAATTGTGATAGTTGTACATTTGAGGAGTATCCTCTTTACAGTCAGATTAACAGGAGTCTAAAGTAAAGAAATGTTGCTTTTGTTTTAAATCTGCCCAAAAGTCCTCAGAGGGCCAATGGGCATTTTTAATAATACACATTTCTCTCTCTTTCTCACACACACAATTAATGGTATTAAAGTAACAACTTTGTGTGGGATTTAGCAAATAAATAAGGAGTTAAACAAGTATGCATTGCAAAGAGGCTGCAAAATTATCTCATACCACAAGGGTCCTTGCTGTTTGATCTGTGAGTAGTGATGATACTAAGCCACCTACCCTGCTAAAACACATTTTAAAAAGTGCAGTGATCTTGGAATGATTACATAGTTTCATACTGAAATATTTAACAGCTTTCTTAATCCACTGACACTTTAAAATGTACTGTAGAAAAATTATGGTCTAAAAAAGTCTAATAAAATCTACTGTACCTTTTCAAAAACATTTTAGCATTTGTAATATTGTGTGATTAGGTTTGGGTATTTAATGCTTCCTCCACTCTGCCTGCAGTGTCACATTGCTTACTGTGTGCTTTAAGTTGTAAAATCACTCCACAGAATAGGTGTCAAGAGATATTAATATAGTTTAGTTGTTTTTTTCTGAGCTACTTCTGAACATATGCCCTCATCTCTGAATGCATGAATTTTGTGACAAATGGCTATGACGTTATTAGAAATAACAGCATGTCTCTGATTCATCACAGATATGTACACTTCACTGATTCAACTACATCTTCACTACTTTAGAAAGAATGCATACGTGTATTGATCACGTAGCAGATCTTTACTGATCAAACTGTCAATTTTGCAAAGTAAATTACACCCTTTTCTGACCAAGCTACAAACTACTTTACATATGCTACGAAAAGGAGATTGCATCTTGTTGCTCAGCAGAACTTGCAACTTTACTGAATTAATAAAATAAATAAAATAAATAATAATGAAGTAGAGTTGAAAGAGATCTATTAGATAGTCATCTAGCCCGGCTCCCACTACTAAAGGACTGGTTCCTATAGTATATTTTCCTAGCAAGTCCATAGTAATTGTAAAAATGGAGGTCTACTCTGGAACATGCTCCTCTAAAAATGGCCTCTGGGGTTTCCATGTTTTTGTCTTAGTTTGCAAATGAAAAGATGTTTTTCCCTCCCTTTCTGATAGTGGCACAAATTCAACCTGAAAGTGTGAAAAATCAAGCTGAGTTCCCTGTGGTTCCTGTACTAATCACCATGGCTCAAATTCCACCCTCAGTTACAGTTACCGTGTCCAATTATTTTACATTATCACAATGGAGAGTGCAAGGACAAAGTCTGGCTCCGCAACTGGACTTAGTTAAAAATTCTGTTGACGTTTATTGTGCCTCATCTGTCATCATTTCATTGTCCAACAGCTAACTGTTTGCTCAGCAGTTGTAAAAGAAGGAAATTTGTTAGTTCCCATTATATACCTATTAGCTATCTAGGAGAAATCTGAACTCTGTCCTCAAATGAGGAGGAGAAAGATTAATGCACAAGCCTGTATAGGTCAAGCATACAGATGAGACTGCCATGTTTCATCTTCAGAAGTGCCACAGAAGTTGATTTGATACCATTTGGGGTACAAGGAGAAGCAAACACTCTGCAGGTATAACACACGGATCACAGACCATTTACTTAGTAGTCTAGTTTCATGCAAGCCAGTGGAATTCACTACGATCTCCACAACCATTCAACTGTCATCGGCAGGCACCAACTTCTCTCAGTTATAGGGTGATAGTGCTCATTAAGATGGAGACTAATTTGAATAGAGAACAGCTGACAACATTTGCTTAGTACCAGCTTGTAAAATGGAACATTCTTGAGACCTAGGCCTGGTCCACACTAACCCCCCACTTCGAACTAAGGTACGCAACTTCAGCTACGTTAATAACGTTAATAACGTTAATAACGTAGCTGAAGTCTAAGTACCTTAGTTCGAACTTACCGCGGGTCCAGACACGGCAGGCAGGCTCCCCCGTCAATGCCGCGTACTCCTCTCACGGAGCAGGAGTACCAGCGTCGATGGCAAGCACTTCCGGGATCGATTTATTGCATCTAGACAAGACGCGATAAATCGATCCCAGAAGATCGATTGCTTACCCCCGGACCCGGAGGAAAGTATAGACCTACCCCAAGAATGTCACCAAAGTTTTCCTCTGTAACATTTTTACATTTGTGAATTCCAGCAGCTGTTTTGCGACTCCTGTCTATAAGTCTTCAGTACAAGCTATTGGCAAGGTGTGTAGGTGAGGTGCAGCGTTCCTTGTTATACACTGTGTAAACTAATCCCTGTCATAGCAAAATCTAAATTTTATAGGTATTACATCTGTGTGGTGAATTACTTTATGTATTGGACCAAATAAGCTGTCTTCTGCATTGGAGGGAAATATGTTGAGTCTTTAAAAGCCAAGGGAGTTACATTTTTCCTAGCATTTATACCTTCTGACTACTGAAAATCAAGCTAATTACAGGTTAATTAGCTCAGCTATGCTAACAATATTCTTTGTGCGTCTGTTGAACAAGCTGTGCACTTTACAAAATAGGATTAGTATGATCACTTCTAGCTATCAGCTATGCATGTTAGGTATCCTATGTGTATGGGATGTTTATTTTTCATCCTTATCATTAAATATTAAAAGCAACTTAGTAAGCACAGACAAATCTGGGTTTTGTTATTTTATTTTAAATACAGTCATTTTCTTTTCTTCAAAACAGAGGCAACTGATTTTTTAATTAAATTGGATTTGTTCAGTTAACTGAACCCAATTATACTTCCCTCATTACAGAACCATTCTTAAGGGCTAATCATCTTAATTGTTCTAATGATATGCAGTTATGATCTCATTTTAGAAGAGACATGGTTGGAAGCTAAAGTCTGGCTGTTCTAGGTCATATTTTATAGTCTTTTTACAGAAGCTCCTAATATGGTTTCAGATTCCTTTCATAATACAATTTGTACCACCATAATCCTCAATTGAAGATCAATGGAAAAAACATTCTCACACAGGAAGTGACGGTTGCAGTTCTCGTCTGTTAAAGAAAAGTGGCAGCTGATAATATAAATCAGTGCACAGTCTAATCCGGGGAGGGCAAACTACGGCCTGCGGGCCGGATCCAGCCCCTCAGGGCTTTCAATCTGGCCTGCGGGATTGCCAGCACAGTGGGGCTAAGGCAGGTTCCCTGCCTGCCATGGCCCCATGTTGCTCCCAGAAGCGACTGGCACCACGTCCCTGAGCCCTGGAGGGGAAGGGGGCGGGGGGCGGCAGAGGGCTCCGTGCGCTGCCCTCGCCAGGAACACAGAACTGCGGCCACTGGGAGCTTCGAGGATGGTACCCACAGGCAAGGGCAGCGCATGGCAGAGCCACCTGCCTCACCCCACCCCCAGGAGCCACTGTCGGACATGCTGGCCACTTCTGGGAACAGCGTGGGGCCGGGGCCGGGACCGGGGCAGGCAGGGAGCCTGCCTTAGCCCCGCTGTGCGCAGCTG